GTTGAGTCTTCATTGAAAACAAAAGTAAATGAGCAGTTTCAAACATTCATCTTCATGTATGTTTACAGCGCTCAGATTTCGTAATTAACTTATCTCAGTGAGTTTAACTAAAATTTCACAAAACTGAATTAATATTAACACCTTTGGATTAGGCGGTTGCGCGCGAGACTGATAGGTCCCGGGTTCGATTCTTGGGAGATGGGATCTTGGATGCGCTCAGCTGAGGAGTCCCGCAATAAGAAGAAACGGCCGTCCAATGCTTCCAAGTTTTCTATGGTGGTCTAGCTTCGATTGACTCATGATTTCAACTATGAAATTACTAAAATCTCCACAAAATTCCTTTGTGAACTGAAGTAATTGTTCATGTTATATCATTCTGCATTGATTTGGATAAGTTGTTTAAAGTCATTGCAGCTAGAATTTCACAAATGTATCCATTAGTTGTCGAGATTGTCACAAACTAATATAAGAAGTTTTTGAAGATTGTTAAATTTCATAACTCACATCACTGACTGACGTTATTTGGACAGCCATTAGAAACCAGAGAGATGTTTTGTCCTAAAATAGGATGAAGGCTTACTAATCTCAACGATAAGCAATCTCTACAAAACTTGTAGGCTATTAAATTATTTCTTTTCAAGTTCGTGGATATACGCTACTGGAGAGTTTCATCCTAAGACAATAGAACTATTCGGTGCCTCTTGATTTTCAGTGGTTTATTTTTAAAACTAAAGTCAATATATTAAGTAAATCATAAAGATATCACAAATCATGTCAACTACTACCTTAAATATGGTTATCGGTTGCAACATGTAGAGGAACCCAATTTACTTTTTCTTTCAGTAATTTCAATAAAACTACTTACTTTTACATCTCAATGGTATAATAATGAAGAATAGAATCATAGAGCAATATCATATAAACTGGCGGCCTGCTTGAACAACCGAGCTACCTATTCCTGTCATCTAGATATTTCAACAAGTTATCTAATTTTCTTTTCAGCTGCGTTTCCAAAAAGTGTACAACTTTTCTTTGTACAAGTTACACAAAGCAAAATCAATGATATCGTGGTTGCTGTCAATATGTAGAGAAAAGAATGTACATTATTTAAATGTCGATTGACTGGACTGATTATTTATTTATTTATTTATTTCAACACATAAATATTGATACAAAGGGGCACCAGATACATATGCGCCACACAAATCTCATTTGATTTGTGTGAGGGCTATGATACCGTTCAGGTGCCCAGACCGAAACAGGTGGTTTTCTTGGGGAGAAGCCACACTCGGAGCTTTCGACCTAAAGGTCTGATCCACAAGGCAGTGGAGAAACGTCAATAGATACAGTTCCATGGTAGCCGGTGAGCAGCGATTGATTCATAAGCCATTAGTTCACTCAGGATACTGGAGCCAGCCCATGTGCACCATTGGTTTGGAATCAGGGTTTTCCAACTCCCCTAGGTGAACTTTCCGTGTCCACCAACCCGGTTAAAGCTCCGGACATTCGCTTTTCGTCCTCTCAATTTTGTAAACAACACTCTCTTCACGAGAAGGCAGTGAGTAGGACTTCCCTGACAGAGGCTATATACGCGTGGCCATGTGAGATCATTTCGAGAAGGAGAGCGGACTCTCCCCACTTTCGGCCGTACCAGGGCATTTGGGGGCTGGACTGATAACTTCTAACAAACGATCTCACTCAATATTTATAATCAGGATCGACTAAGAAGTAAGAAATAGTAACATGTTGAAATACACCGTTCTGAAATTTCTATATTGTACCATAAATATAATCCGATTACAGAATATAAAATACAAACCCAATTTCACTATAAGCAAAGATGGATAGTGACTAGCAGTGGAATACAGTACGCTCGTTTCGTCCTATTTGGGACTCGTCAACTGGATGAGCCTGCATCTCAGAGTTGATGTTCACTCTGGGACTCTAACCCAGTACATTTCGCTTCAAATGCCATCGCGTTTTCCACTCTGGATTACACTGCTAGCCACTAACCATCTTTACTTATAATGCTTGTGACTTAAGGTTATATCGAAACAATACGCACAGTATGCACATGTGCCAATTAGAGACTGACCAGTTGCAGCTCTAACAAATCGATGGGAAGGTTCAAACAAACATGACTAAATGAATCCAATATCATTATGATGTATTGCCAAAACCAAAATGAAAATTTAACTTATTTATCCTTCAAATTAATTATTAGGTCTGTTATCTTCTTTTTTTTGTTTTTTCGGAAAAAACACAAAAAATATAAAGACAATTACCCGTTAGTTACAATCTATTTTCATGGATCAATAATAACAAATGGACTTATCGATCGCATTCATCAGTTGGTTAAATCAAATTTGAAAAATTGAAATTTTTCACATGGTGACATTTTGTCGGATATTAAAATATATAGATTAGTATTTTGTTTGAAATTTTGATTATCCTTTGAAATAGAATTCTATGAATTACTCATGTTATCTATCTAAAAGGAGAAAAGGCTACTAACGATCATTCTACAACCAAATCTTTCTGGACAAGCCTTTTCAGTTATTTCCAGTTCCTATTCATCCTATTCATATCTACTTCCAATTCTCAACTCAGTGTGTTCATCGGCCTTCCTCTTTTCAGTCTACATTCCACGCTTCATAATGCATATTGATGATTTCCACAGTATATATATGTCCTATCCACCTACAATATCTATTCCTTATTTCCTCCTCATCTGGGAGTTGATTTGTTCTCTCCCATGATAGGTTGTTGCTGATGGTATCCTGTCAACGGATATTGAGTGTCTTGTGTAAACAATTGTTTAATAATACTTGTACCATTTTGATGATGGTTGTGATAGTTGTTTCAGTTTCAGCTCCATATAATAGAACTAACTGTTATGACGTTCTTATTGTAACTAGTTATAGTTAATCAGTTTGTAAAGTAATGAGAACAATATTCTGAATCTTAGAAGGTTCCTAATAGTGTTTATTAATTTTCCATAGTTGCTTATTATTATCTCAGAATGCGACAATCCTGAGTTCAATGAAAGTTATATGTATATACAAAAAGAAAAAAAATAGTGAAGCAAATATCAAACATTCATGGAGTTCTATTTTAAAATTTGTTCTTTCACCGATGTCGACTAACAGTTAAAACAAAGAATAATCTTGATTTACTTTAGTGAAAACATTTTAGACAGAGAGAGATTTAAGGAACAACTAACACAGCCTACATTGTTCCCTACAGTAACGGAAATAATGACATTTTTTTCAACAAATTCCTACGCTCGTTCATCCCTTTTTGTGTCAGACCTATAATGAAGCAGTGAAAATTATCGGAAGCTCTACAATATATTGACTACTTGAAGCTCTTAGTAACTAAATAGTTATTCACTATAAACATTCAAATTGACAAGAATAACAAACTATTTACATGAAATAACTTCTATTATTCTGAAGATATGAGTTAGAATCGGAAGGGACATATTTATCATCAATGGAATTGTCATCTGTGTCTAAAACAATTCTAGATGTACAACATAGTTATTGTGTTTTTAACCTTTTGATCGAAGTACGTTTCAGTGGAGAATTTTTAACTAAATCATCATATAGTATATCAACTTCAAGAATTCTATTGACAAAATTAAATTTGATAGTTGAGATCATGAATCAATTGAAGCTAGACCACCATGGAAAACGTGGAAGCACTGGACAGCCGTTTCGTTCTATTATGGGACTCCTCAGCAGTGCGCATCCATGATCCCATCTCACGATATTCGAACCTGGGGCCTATCAGTTTTGCGCTTAACCACTAGACTACTGAGCTGGCCGGCATCCAACGTTGTTAATGTCTTAGTTCAATCGATTCATGAAATTGAGTGGCACATCCACCATTGTCTTCAGTGAGTTACTATCTTACAATAGACGTGGTTGAAATTAAATTTATCTGTAAAATTGCCTTTAACTATAATATAAACATTTTCTTAGTAATTAATTGATTTAATATGTATTTCTATGGTTCTACTAAGAATCTATGATTGATAAAGTTCAACCATATCCGGATTATGACATTTATCACAATAACATTGAATGATCACCGTAAGTCATTGGTTTTTTAAATCCTAACCGTAAGATGCATAAATTCTTCTTTCAAAATCTGACAGAAGTTTGGTTGTATATTCCTGACGAGTATTATACCAAGAGTGAAAATAAATATCTACCATCATTTCCAAGAGTAGTCTACCATAAAGTCAACTCTTAATAAAAAGCATTAACAAATTATAATGTAACTGTTAAGAGAAAAGATAACTCAAAGTAATACAGATTTTGAGTCATTTGAAGCTAAACCACCATGGAAAACTTGGAAGCACTGAACGGCCTTTAAAATTACTATAATATCCACCAGAAACGCTGGAAGTGGATAGGACACACATTGAGGAAATTACCTAATTGTGTCACAAGACAATCCCTCACATGGAAACCTGAAGGCCAAAGGAGGGGAGGAAGACCAAAGAACACATTACGCCTAGAAATGGAAATAGACATTAGAAGAATGAACAAAAGTTGGATAGAACTAGGAAAGAAGGCCCAGGGCAGAGTGCGTTGGAGAATGCTGGTCGGCAGCCTATGCTCAATTGAGAGTAACAGGCTTAAGTAAGTAAGTAAGTAATCCACGAAACCTCTTCTGATATTAATACAGATTAATTTAGTAGAAAAAAAACGGAATGAACAAACTGGACCATTAAAGAAATATTTTCATCTGTTTCCACCAACTAATGCTTACTCACTCAACTACTAGTAGCAAAAAACAGAGATATTTGTAGATGATCTTTAAGTATAGTTAGTTTACAATTATAGATAGATGTTTTGCCATAATCATCTATTCTATTTTGAAAATATTATTATAATTAAAAGTGGATTGAAAATAAAATGAGTACAATTACATAACAAGCCTCATACTGTGACGTATATATGTACTTAAGTTTAATTAATTGTTGGAAAATGACTTTGTTTTATAATAATCATGATCATCATCATGATCGTCATGATCATCATCATCATCATCATCATCATCATCATCATCATCATCATCATCATCATCATCATCATCATCATCATCATCATCATCATCATCATCATCATCATCATCATCATCATCATCATCATCATCATCATCATCATCATCATCATCATCATCATCATCATCATCATCATCATCATCATCATCATCATCGTCATCATCATCATCATCATCATCATCATCATCATCATCATCATCATCATCATCATCATCATCATCATCATCATCATCATCATCATCATCATCATCATCATCATCATCATCATCATCATCATCATCATCATCATCATCATCATCATCATCATCATCATCATCATCATCATCATCATCATCATCGTCATCATCATCATCATCATCATCATCATCATCATCATCATCATCATCATCATCATCATCATCATCATCATCATCATCATCATCATCATCATCATCATCATCATCATCATCATCATCATCATCATCATCATCATCATCATCATCATCATCATCATCATCATCATCATCATCATCATCATCATCATCATCATCATCATCATCATCATCATCATCATCATCATCATCATCATCATCATCATCATCATCATCATCATCATCATCATCATCATCATCATCATCATCATCATCATCATCATCATCATCATCATCATCATCATCAACATCATTTCATATCAGGATGATTTAACATCTCATGTAGTCATGTTTTAGTGCTTTATACTATTATCCGATTTTTTTCATTTATAAAAGATCATAGTTACAGTATAGACATGGTGTTGTGAATTTTTTATTTGATCGACTAGGATCATTAGATATGACATGACATTACATATATGCTGGTTTAAGGCCATATAATACGTGAATATGCTATTAGTTTCAATTCAATACAATTATTCGAAAGAAACAGACCTACGCTATTGGTTGGAATTTAGCTTAATTATCCGGTAGATACTTATTGATAGTCATGAATGAGTTTGTGTACATATATATTGATTCGATTAAGTGATAGAGATTCCTATCCAAAGAGCAAGTTAAGCTGATGTACAAGAAGAGTGAAAATCAGGATCAGGATTAGGATCAGACGACTGTTCCACATAATAGTATCATATATCAAAATGCACATATAGAATACACTTTTCTAATTGGACTTTATTTTCATACAATTACCTTTAGACTATCACATTTAGTTTGTATTGAAATAATGATTATTATTATATGATCCGAAATCTGTAATTCAATTCATTTTACATCTAACAAATAGAGTTGTAGTGAATTACTTGACGATTTCTGTTAGTGATTAAAATAATTTCCGAAACAAATTAGCTGATAATATTAGGTTTGAATAGTAAGTAACAGTTGAATTCACGATAAACATTTCGTCTTGTTTAGGACTTGTCAATTGGATGTATTTAGATCCTATTGTTGATTTTCATATAAGGGGACAATATCGGTACCCAAAGATTCAAACTCCAAATCACTATCCATTAAAGTTAGCTCTTTTTTTAAAACCAAGTCCTATATTTAACTTAAACTAATATGGTATGATCATCAAAATATTTAACTCCGTCTGTAGCCCTTCCAGGGGCTACTGCTGGTCCCAAGCCCGGATAAAGGAAGAGGGTTGGGCATAGGGCTGGCGACTCCATCCCGTAGAAAGCTGACCTCCTAAAACAATGCTAACCAGAAAAAATCGTTCAAACTATTTTAAATCTGCCCTGGGAGTTGAAGGTCGATTTATAACGCCTCAGGATGAAAGCCGACATCCTTCGGTGGTCAAAAGGCCGATGCCCCTTCTGACAAACAGAGCAACAATTTTTGTAGATTCATGGAATGTCCGGACAATGTGGGAGACCGGAAGAGTCTTCCAAATTGCTGCAGAAATGAGAAAATAAAACCTGGAGGTGCTTGGAATCAGTGAAACACATTGGAGGCAAGTTGGACAAAAACGACCGGCTTCAAGGGAGCTTCTATTATACTCCGACCATGAAGAAGAAAATGCCCCATACACACAAGGAGTTGCATTAATGCTGTCCAAACACGCGGAAACCTGAAGAATTACGAGAGCCATCATCCAAAAAATACAGGTGTTTATTAACAATTGTCTATGCAAAATACTTCAGAACCGCAGGCTAGACACTATTAGCAACAACCTACTGTCAGAGAGAACAAACCAGATTCCATCCAGTGGAGGAAGAAATCAGGGAGAAGCACTGGAAGTGGATAGGGCACACATTGAGGGAAGCACGCAACTGCGTCACAAGACAAGCCCTCATATAAAATCCTGAAGGACAAAGTTGGATAGAAAAAGATAGGAAGGTCCAGGACAGAGTGGGTTGGAGCATGCTGCTCAGCGGCTCATGCTCCATTGGGAGCGACAGGTGTAAGTAAGTAAGTAATTAAGTATTTCATTATATAAACTTTTACTTGACGCATGATATTTAGTTATTTGCTTCTCAAAGTATTAAATCCACTTGATACTGTTTGTTTAAATCTATCCGTTGATGTTTAGGACTGCACTTGATCAGTCTCTTGTTAACATATATGCATCCTGTGCATCCTGACTCGATATTGTAATAATTCACAAACTTTATAAGTAAAGATGGATAGTGGTGGAATCCAGGACGCGCATTTCATTCTATTTGAGTCCCACAGTGAACATCAATTCTGAGATGCATGTACATCCAGCTAACAAGTCCCAAATAGGACGAAACGCGCGTCATGGATCACACTGCTACACACTATACATCTCCCCTCACCATGCTTTTCAGTGCATTGTTTCTTGAACATACTGAACAATTTGAATAATGGTAAGTTGTTTCTCCTTCTTTAATTAATAGAGAAAAAAACATTTCTAAATTTATTGTCCAGGTATCTTCAACCACATATGCTACAATAATCTGCAGTTTTTTTAAATTTAAAATAGAACTACTTCAGAGTTATGCATTGCATCTAATTAATGTCCTTGAACTTCTTTGTATATTCAAGTCAACAACAGAAGAAGTACAAATGAGTACTGCAAAATGTTATCCATAATGTATAGTTAACAATATGAGAATCAGTGACAAGTATTGAATGGATAATTTAGGAATGAGATAGACTTGAATCTGTAGTCCTGTAATCTGTCTCTCTTACAACTTACCTATAATCTCCACTTACATATTTCAGATTACTATTACAGTTAACCATGTAACAGGTTCAATTGAATTGACTGTTTATTCACTAATGATAATCTAATAAATCAGTATTATTTCATGTACAAATTTGTTCAAGTAACAAATAGCCAAACAAAATGAAAGAGGTTTGAACAATTCATAATTTCATCAAGTTGAACTGGAAATCTCTAAAAGTACATCAGCACAGTTTCTTCAGTTTGTAAGAAGAGAGATTGTGTATGGAATAGTTGACTATAATGGTAACTCAACAAAATGATTTAGACCATCCTTAATAACATCAGTCCACTGAATGACGAAGATGTAACAATTTAAATCTACAATACGGTACAACGGTTTGCCATCTCGTCGGATCTAAAATCTTACTTTTTTTTAATACATGACAGACAATATCTTAATTGTTAGGAAATTAAAGTTTGATTTGGTTGTAGCTAGTCGACAGGAAATCCTAAACCTAGGTTTCGTGCTATTTGACACTTGTCAGCACAGTGTCCCTGCAATCTTGAAGGAACTGATGTTCTTTGACAGACTCTCAGACTGCGAAGCTGGGTGACACGGGATCGAATCTGTTAGTGAGCATCAGTTCCCTCAAGATTACAGGTACACCTTACTGACGAGTGTCAAATAACAGAAAACCTAGGTCCAGGATTTCCTTTTGACTACCTTCAACCACCATCGTATCTCAACATAGTATGCACAATGTCGAGTCACCTAGACTAGTAGCCACATTGAAATAGATAGAATTTGATCTGCACTAAGAAGGATCTGACATACATGACATTGATCACCACCCAGTGATCAATCAATTGTAAATTATGAACCTGATTATATACAATGAGTTTTAGATTTATTTGTTTGTGATAAATCGAACTCAGCTATAGTCATTAAAAATGTGTTAACTCCAGAATAATAAACAAAATCGATATTAAAATGAGGGTATTGACTGAGATACAATGTCAAATACTTTTCTATATTTAACTTGATGTTCCATTTTGTCTAGTCTTATCTGTTCATACGTGGGATTTTAGTTTAACGAAGAAAAATTGTGTTCTAATCATTAGAAAGGAATTTAGTAGATCATATAGATGTATTAAAGAACAATCTTATTTAATAAAAAGGAGACAATACAATTTATTTATTACTCAGAAGGGGTTTTGTGGAGATTTCAGTATTTTCATAGTTGAAATCATGAGTCAATTAAAGCTAGATCACTATGGAAAACCACGTCTGTTGTGAAATAACAGCTCACTGAAGACCATTGGTGAACGGTTGCTCAAATTTCGTGAATTGGTTGAAGTTAAACATTAACAGCTCAGTGGTCTATCGGTTGAGTGCTCTGGCGCAAGACTGGTAGGTCACGGGTTCAAATCTCGCGAGGTGGGATCATGGATGCGCACTGCTGGGGAGTCCCCTAATAGAGCGTAAACGGCCGTCCAGTGTTTCCATGTTTTCCTTGGTGGTCTAGCTTCAATTAACTCATGATTTCAATGATTTTTTACTGTTTATTAAGTTATTTTTAGATGAAAGTATATCAAGATACTTTGCACTGGGTATGTTCATAGTAGTCAGTTGTCGATAATTCTAAACTCTTGGAATCAGAGATTTAATGAAAGTCACACCGTAATATACATTAATTACCTAGTAAATGAACAAAAACGTAACTGAAAGGTTTTTGTAAAATGAAAACTCTGATGATAATTTTAATTATTTTAAGGTGTATAATTTGAGGTTAGAAATATCATCAAACAGTACTGTTATTTCACAATTTATCTAGACGTTACAGATAAATAGTCTACTGTACAACCGTCTATAAGTGACTCATAGTGACAAATGTTTAGTTGCTGTTGTATTATGTACCTACGCCAGTTACTCCTCAAAGAGTAGCATAGACCGTCCACCAGTATTCTTCATCTGGGCAATCCTTTCCAGTGATTTCCAATCGCTATTCATTCTTTTGATGTTTGTCTCCAATTCTTGATGCAGTGTGTTCTTTGGTTTTCTTTTTTTCTTTTAGCCTTCAGGATTTCAAGTTAGCGCTTGCTACGTGATGCAGTCTGAAGAATTACTTATTGTATGTCCTATCCAGCTTCAGCATCTTCTAATTTTCTCTTCATCTGGAAGTTGGTCTATTCTATCCCACAGTAGGTTGTTGATGAAGGTAACCGGTCAACGGTCATTGAGTATCTTGCGCAGATAATTGTTTAAACATAGCAGTACTGTTTTTTATGGCGGTTGTCGTAGTTCTTTCAGTTTCATCTCAGTACAATAGAAATGTATTGATGTTTGTATTGAAAGTTCTGACTCTGGTACTATTGAACAGTCGCATTGAGTCCCATATGTTCTTCAGTCTTAGAAATATCTCCATTCTGTACCTTGATATCTGTATAAGATCCTCCTTGTTTACCGATGATGACCCTAAAATACGTGAAAGTTTCCACTCTTTCCAGAGTTTCTCCATCAACTGTCATTAGATTGGTGCCCGTTATGCCATGTTCTAGGATGTTAGTTTTCCC